TATTTTCTATCTGAGAAGCTTTGAGCACCAGTTAAATGTAATTCCTTCCTTCTTTCCAACAGTACCAGCTTTTTCAGCTCTATTATTATCCTTAAGTTGCATTTATTCCTGAGGTAGGCAGGGTATTTCACAGTGAGCATAAGACCGAGGGCATCTGGTTCCTAGGAAAACAGATCACCCCACACTTTCACGAATAGACTGCTATTTAGTCATAGATCAATTTAAAACACTGAAGACTATAACCTTGGAGTCATAGTTTATCAAACAATAGCCTATAGAAGGCTGTGGACTGGCTCTTCCACATATTTCTTTCATTTAAAAGTGATTCTCTGAAGAGCATGTGTTGTATTCCTTTAAGGACCCCTGTTTGTCTACTCTAAGGCCACCCACTCAAAGCAGGAATATGGTGGAGTTTAGTCCTATTCAAACCAGAACAGCTGCTAGCCCTCAATAAATGGAGCAAAAACAAAAAAGACCATTTAACTGAGATCAACCAGGAAAGATTTTTTATTCAAGCTACTATTACTAAGGATCAAAATATGGCCTCATATCTGCTAATATATAGTGAAATTCATCTATTAAAAATATTTCTTGGGGCTAGCAGGTGACATGGTGGTTAAGGTGCTGGATTCCCATATGGTCAACTGCAGTTCAAGTCTTGAACCTGGTGGCATGAAAATTACAACAAATGAATAAATAAATAAATGTTAAAAATCTAAAAAGAGGGACTGACAGGTGTCATGGTGGTTAAGGCACTAGATACTCGCACATGGCCGACCATGGTTCAAGTTCTGGACCTGGTGGCTTGCTTGCTTTATTTCTCTCTCTTTCTCTCTTTTTATGTGTGTGTATGTGCATGTCTCCCTCTGGTCAAATTAAAATAAATGAATAAATAAAATGAAATAAACATGGGCCTGCAGGTGGCATAATGGCTATGTCACTGGACTCCCAGGTAGTCAACCACAGTTCAAGTCCCAGACCTGGTGCCTTAAACTCGTGCCGGGCACGTGTGCGTGCGTGCCCAAGATCCCAAGAGGAGAATGGAGGAGAAGGGATTGCAGTGTGGCTATTCTCCCTGGAGGGTGATTTCTTGCTTTCTGTCTCTCTATCTCTCTCTGTCTTTCTGGCGAGTACACACACCATATAGCAAAAATAAAATAAAATAAACAATTCTTTTTTCTTTTTTTTTCTTTTTTCTTTTTTTTATTTAGCTATAGGGCACGTGCGCTCACCAGAAAGACAGAGAGAGACAGAGAGACAGAAAGTGAGAAATCACCCCCCAGGGGGGATGGCCACACCACAATCCCTTCTCCTCCATTCTCCTCTCGGGATCTTAGGCATGCACACACACGCGCCCGGCATGAGTTTAAGCCACCGGGTCCAGGACTCAAACCGCGGTCAACTACATGGGAGTCTAGCAACATAGCCATTAAGCTAACTGCTGGTCACAAAATAAACAATTCTTTAAAAAAATTTTTTTTAATCTAAAAAGAAAAGAAAATCATTCTTGTATCACTGATTTTTAATCATCTAGCTTTCTTGAAAACTGCTGATAGAATTGCTGAGGGAATCATCACTTCTCTCCTAATTTTTTCTCTTTTTAAAGTTTTTACTCTTTATTTCATGAGAGGTTGTGAGAGAGAAGACCCCCAACAGGGTCTGATCCCATCGTGCTGTGACACACCCTCACCCCCTAGCAATCCCGCCAGACAGGACAGGCTTGTTCAGGTTGACCCAGCCCAGAACCCTAGGTCCTCCCATAAGGCTCTAGCATCACACATCAGTGCCCTTCCATCTGGACCATCCAAGGGCCCTTACTATATCTTCAAAAAATTAATGTCTAAACTTAAATGTTTAGGAAAGTAAGTCATTATATAGGACAGACCGTGTCTATGTTTCACCTTAGAAATATTGTATTTAAAGTTTTTTACCAAGGGGCCAGCAGGTGGCGTGACGGTTAAGGCACTGGACTTCCCATGGCTGACCACAATTCAAGTCCTGGACCTGGCAGCTTACTTTCTCACTTTCCTTTTCTCTCTCTGGTCAAATCAAAAAATAATAAAATTAAATAATCTTTTAAAAAATGTTTTTCAGAGGCCAGCAAGTGGCATGGTGGTTAAGGCACTGGAATCCCACATGGCAGACCATGGTTTGAGTCCTGGACCTAGTGGCTTGCTTTCTCACTTTTCCTCTCTCTCCCTCTCTCTCTCTCTCTCTAGCCAAATTAAAAAGTAATAATAATAAATAAAATTTTTATTAAATTCTTTGTTAAAATTTTTAATAAATTTTTTATTTGAAAAAATGTTTTTCAGTTAATACTTTAAATTGGGAGACTTCATATAAAATTTAGATTTACTATTTGCGATAATATAGTATCTAAATAGAACCAAGTTTCAATAATCAGAAAGAGCAGGGGTCAGCAAGTTATAGTCCATGGGCCAAATTCAGCCCACTGCTTCTTCTGAACAGCCCAAGAACTAAAGATAAGTTTTTCATTTTAAAATGATTGGGGAAAAAAATCAAGAATAGTATTCACAGCATGTGAAAAGTACATTAATTTTTTTTTTTAAATGAGATTTTCACGCTCCCCAGAGTGATAAGAGAGAGACAGAGAAAGAAAGTGAGAAATCAGCTCCCGGGGGGATGGCAATACCATAATCCTTTCTCCATTTTCCTTTCAGGATTTTGAGCATGCACGCACATACACCCAGCTTAAGTTTCAAACCACCAGGTCCAAGACTCGAATTGCAGATGGCCATGTAGGAATCCAATGCCTTAACCACCAAGCCACCTGCTGACCCTTACATGAATATTTAATCTCAGTGTCCGTAAATAAAGCTCGATTGCAACTCAGTCAGGCCTATTCATTTATATATCGTCTATAGCTATTTTCACACTACAGTCCAGCAGAGCCGAGTGGTGGTGACAGACTGCACACAGCACAGCTGACGGTCTCCACTAAACTTCCAGGGACGTCTGTGAATCTCTTCTGTGGTTTGGTCACTTTCTCCTCCATAGCAGCTTTTTAAATTTTATATAAGACTGATCGATTTATATTTGACCAGAGAAGGACAGAGCAAGAGAGAGAGTGAGAGAGAGGTAAAGTGAGAAAGCAAGGGTCCAGGTACAGGACTTGAACCACAGTCAACCATGTGGGAGTCCAGGGCTCCTAACCACTAAGCCACCTGATAGCCCCCATAGCAGCTTTTATCTCGCACTAGCTTATATGAACAAACAACATAACTAGCAGTCAATAAATGCTCTCCTAACTCCAGCCCCCATAATAAAATAAGGTACAATGTGACCAGGAAGTAGTAATTAAAATCCACTGCATTTTGACCAATGCTCATGTTTTAAAAAGTATTTATTTAATTTTATTTATTAGTTTTTAATTTGATGAGAGAAGGAGAGAGAGGAAAAGAGAAAGAGAGAGAGAGCAAGCCACCAGGTCCAAGACTCAAACCATGGTCATCCATGTGGGAGTTCAGCATCTCAACCACTACACCACCTGCCAGCCCCGCTCATTACTTTTAAATAAAGTTCATAAAAGACTACAAAAGATGTTTTTAAAGCTATATTTGAGATTCTGAGAATGAGCATTTATATAAACCCAAAATCCTTTCAAAAAGGCTCAACATAATCCCAATATACTATTGGGTTGTCAGAAATGTCATGACTCATTTTTCCACAGAAAAGCAGAAAAACAGGTCATGACTTTCCCAATGACCCAATAGACGAATCTCATGAGGGAAAAAAAGCTTCTGCTTATTTTCATCAGATTTTAAAATGAATGGCCGAGATAGTGCAGGTGATAGAGAGTCACTATGCAATACAAAAGCTTCCTGAAGGCCAAAAGCATACAGGGTCATATGGGTTCAGTTCCCAAGACAACCTAAGCATAACGAATACACCTATGATCACAGCTGGCTGGAAGGGACTGTGCCATGACAAGACCCTGTCAGGGCACCCTGTCTCTCTTTTTTCTCTCCCTTTCCCTCTCTCCCAGGAAAGAAATGAATAAACTTTTTTAAAAAATACCAGGCTGGCCCTATAGCACAGTGGTTAAATGCTATGAATTGGAAACTGGATCCCACATGACCAACTATAGTTCAAATCTCAACCCTGGCAGCTTGAAAAACACACCAGGGTCATTAGTGTGTGCACCCAAAACCCTGACGGGATGAAGAAATGGAGGCTAAAGGATTGTGGCATGCCCATACTCCACTAGGAGGTACTTTCTCTCTGGCACACACACAAGTAACTTATACACACACACACATATATATGTGTGTATATATATATATATGTATATATAGAGAGAGGTTTATATATATATATATATACATATATATATAAACAAAAAGACTTAGAAAATAAAATATTCCAAGACAATGTCAGCATCACACCAACAGTCTGCTGTTAAAAAGCACAAAGGTTATCACACCTGAGCACAAATCTTGGATCCTTTTCATGCCTCACCTGAATAGCTGTCAGTTTGTGTCTTAGGTTCACAAGGATAACGCGTGCTAATAACAGCAGTATGGGCTTCGATGTCAGACTGTAGACGGATTCACCATCCAGAATGAGCATACTCAGAACAACCGCATCCAGTCCCTTGACCTGAAAAAGTTCAAATCTCAACCCTGGCAGCTTGAAAAACACACCAGGGTCATTAGTGTGTGCACCCAAAACCCTGACGGGATGAAGAAATGGAGGCTAAAGGATTGTGGCATGCCCATACTCCACTAGGAGGTACTTTCTCTCTGGCACACACACAAGTAACTTATACACACACACACATATATATGTGTGTATATATATATATATGTATATATAGAGAGAGGTTTATATATATATATATATACATATATATATAAACAAAAAGACTTAGAAAATAAAATATTCCAAGACAATGTCAGCATCACACCAACAGTCTGCTGTTAAAAAGCACAAAGGTTATCACACCTGAGCACAAATCTTGGATCCTTTTCATGCCTCACCTGAATAGCTGTCAGTTTGTGTCTTAGGTTCACAAGGATAACGCGTGCTAATAACAGCAGTATGGGCTTCGATGTCAGACTGTAGACGGATTCACCATCCAGAATGAGCATACTCAGAACAACCGCATCCAGTCCCTTGACCTGAAAAAAGTTTGTAGGGTGAAATGGCATAATTGTCCAAAATACTAATCTTTATACACATTATAATAATATAGACTTTTCAGTTAATTTGGCTTTGAAATCTATTCACAAGAGCAGTGAATATATTCACAACAATTGGTACTGGCCAGAATGATAACAAATGCCCTTACAGATCTATACAGCCAGCCTGCCCTGACGGATGGCCACCAGTCCACTAGATTGCATATTGTTCCCCTTGAGTTATCTGTTCAAGAGAAGAACCTTCCTAACGTGCCAACTGGACCTGTATGTAGCCTCACGGAATCATCTTGTAAATTCAGGTGGATACCATCATCTTTATTTCCCAAATGCAAGCTAAGCTGGTAAGCACTGTATGAGGCATGCCTTTAAGGAAAAAGATCTTTACTTATTTCAATCACTTGGAGGTAACTGTCTTACCTGTTCTAGCCCAAATTTCATATTATTGTCTTTTAAATGAAATCCCTAAATATACATAACAAACAAGAAATTTAATAGGACAACAGACAAAAACTATATAAGGAGACAGTCCATGATGTACTCCTTGGACATCGCCACCTCTGATACTCGAGCTCCACAATGAATACAAAGCAAGTTTAGTATTAAAGCTGCACCTTTGATATGCCCTTCTGAACACCTTGGGGTTGTACCAATAAAACAAGAACATGGTTGCAGTCAAGGAGTCGTGGGTTTGGCTCCTGGCTCCACACAAACAAACAAAAAACAGGACCAGTGCAATGGCACATGTCTGTGGTCTTAGCCAGCTGGGAGGCTGCTGTAAAAGACAGCAACTTGGCATGACCTGTAATACCTAGCCACCGGGTCCGGGACACGAACCACAGTCGACTACATGAGAGTCCAGCGACATAGCCATTACACTAACTGCTGGTCCCAAAGTTCCTACACTTCTCATGCAGGTCATCTCTGCTTACTTAGCCTGTGCAGACGTGCTCAAACATTCCTGAGGAAGCTCTACTGATGACCTACTGATACAGGGCAATATCATCTTCATATGCAAATAATAATCATCATTATCACCACGGAACACCTTTGTGCACAGACTTAAAGAAAGTATTTGTGGGGTCAGCAGATGGCATAATGGTTGCATCACTAGACTCCCACATAGTCGACCACAGTTCCCAGACCCAGCGACCTAAAACTCAAGTCAGGTATGTGTGTATGCATGCTCAAGATCTTGAGAGGAGAATAGAAAAGGGATTGTAGTGTGTACATCCTCCCTGGGTGATAATTTCTCGCTTTCTGTCTGTCTCTCTGGTAAGTGCAGTGTTCCCTATAGCAAAACTATCTCTCTCAAAAAAAAAAGTATTTGTGATAATGAAATCACCTGTGGGAGCTGTTACTAAGCACAAGAGCAAAACTTACCTATTATTAGGTTGTCTGAAAAGCCGTGACTTTTTTTCTGTTTTTCTATGCAAAAATGCGTCATGACTTTCCCGACCACCCAATACAAAATTAAACAGATTTCTACTTTTGCTTCTTTGCCAGAAAAGATCTTTATGTAACTGTGGTAATATAGCAACTAGGTGACTGGTCCAGCTGTCTGTGCTTTGATAAAAAGGCAGTTAAGAAAGCACCATAAAATTAGAATGTCTGAAGAGTCTGAGACTGAAAATGGAACATCTGGAAATCTTGGAAAATTTGATCAATGAACAAATCTTCTTAGTGATTTTGTGCAAGCTAAGAAGTCATGTTTCTTTCCTACCTACTATTAACTCCAGTCTATAAAGAAAAAAGAATGACTAACATAAAAAATAAACAACACAATCCATTTGTTTACAAAGACTAAATAACATAGTAAGAACCATGTATGACATTTTCCAATAGCATACCTCATTGAATTGCTGCATCAAAACAGATGGCAAAAAATCCTGAGGGTGTAAGTCCACAGGTGGCCCCGTCCAGTTACTCTGAACGAATAGTTGCAAACTACTCACACCAAGTAGGAATATCAGCTGCTGTCTATGTAATAAGATGGGTAAAGAAATCAATTCGAACCATTATCACTGTAATCCCAAAACACCACTTTATTCAGTTTGATTTAAAAAGATAGCATTCAACATATACTGAGACTCCCCTAGAGAATCACCAAAAGTTTTTCTGAAATTTAAATAATTTAGGTGTACAATGTCCAATAGTATAACTATAAGCCATGCAGGACACTTTTAAATTTAAAATTAGTTAAAATTACACGAAGTTTAAAGTTCAGTCCTTTAACCACACTGTCCATATTATCAAGTGGTCAGTGGACAAGGGTGGCAGTGGCTAGGGCATAGCACAGTGCAAATACAAAACGTTTCCATCAGCTCAGAAAATCCTCTTGAATAGTGCTGATTCGGGCCCTGAAAGGGCTTCTGTAACGTTTTCTTGCATTCTATTTACCAGCTCAGGTATTGCTAGAAGAGATGAGAAACTGACTTCATGAAAGAAAACTAATAAAAAAAAAGCTGTTTTTTAATGTTTTACAAATCCTGCACTAGAATAAAGACTATATATATTTTACTGGAACCTACTGGGTCATCAGAAAAGTCATGATGTCATGACATGACTTTTCTGATGACCCAATATTTTTTTCCCAATCCTGCTTTGCTTAAAACAGAATGAGCAAACTGGGGCCGGCAGGAGGTGTGGTGGTTAAAGGTGCTGGATTCTCAGGACCAGTAGGTGGTGTGGTGGTTAAAGGTGCTGGATTCTTGGGACCAGCAGGTGGTATGGTGGTTAAGGCGCTGGACACTCCCACATGGCCAACCATTGTTCGAGTCCCGGACCTGGTGGCTTACTTACTCACCTTCTCTCTTTCTCTGTGTCTCACTCTGGTCAAAATTAAAATAAAATAAAATGAATGAATGGTAAATAAATAAAATTAAATAAATAATTCTTTAAAAAAAAAAAAGAAAGGTGCTGGATTCCCAAGTGGCCAATTGCGTTTCAAGTCCTGGACCTGACAGCTTGCTTTCTTGCTTTTCCTTTCTCTAACTCCGTCTAGTCAAATTTTAAAAAAAATTTTTAAATAATAATAACAAATGGAATTAAATAAGTAAATTATTCTTTTTACAAAAAACAGAATGGGCAAATTTTTCTATAATAAAACGGATTAAATATTTCAGGAGCTATTTGTCACATGCATTTTTCCCCAACCCTTTAAAAATGTAAAAACCATTTTTAGCCACTATGGGCCACAAACTGTAATTTGCTAACCCCTAGACTAATACATAATTAGATAGGATTCAACTCCAGCAAATAATAGAGCATCCTGGAGTTTCATTCTGAAGAGAAAGTAACAGCAGTTGCCCTTTTCTTCTCACAGCCCTGACACCATTCCTTAAAAAGAAGGTTCTTCTAGTGGACGGGGGAGTGGGGAAACCCTCAAACCCACAAGCCTATGGTAGCAGAATGCAGCGTGACCAAGAGCAAAGAACACAGCACTGGCACAAACAGGATGAGAGCGCCTGCTGTAATTCAAAGTTAAAAATCTGGGAAAAGCAGGTGTGTGGCAAGAGCATAAGGCCTTTCTATAACTATCCTAGCTAAAAACCAAAACCCTTCAGCTAGGCTCAATGGCACACACCTGTCAATCTCGGCTACTCACACACGTCAGAAAACAAAATAAGAATCAGAAATGACATTGTAGGGCCAGCCCTGTAACCTAACATTCGGGAGGGCCTGAGCTCACGTGGCAAGTTGCAGCTGGAATCATAGCCCCAGTGGCTTGAAAAATACACCAGCTCATGTGCATGTGGACCCCAAATCCTGACAGGATGAAAAGATGAGGGAAGAGGGACTGTGGCATGACCATGCCCTATTATAGGGTGCTTACTTCCTCTCTCTCCTCCAGTCACTCTCTGGCAAGTACATGCACCCTCAGGCAACTGGGGAAAAAAAAAAAAAAAAAAAGACAAGACGTTGTAGAAATATAAATTACCAGTAAATGAGAAAAATAAAAAGGAATGATAGCAGTTTTAAAAATAAAATAAAAAGCCTAAGAGCAGCATTCTGTGAACATCTTTTAGATGGGTTATATGCTATTTACCTTTACAACTTCAACACCTGGCACACTAGTCAGTTCATTTGTTGAAGAACTAAGTGAAGCCATTTCCTAAAAATAATGGTAAAATTGTGTCCATCTTAAAGATAATTAACATTGGGGGCCAGCAGGTGACACAGTGATTAAAGGCACTGAACTCCCACATGACCAACTGTGGTTCAAGTCCTGGACCTTGTGATTGCTTTCTTACTTTCTCTCTCTGTCTGGAAAATAATAATAATAATGATATATAAATTTAAATAAAACAATTATTTTTTAAAAAAAGATAATTAACATTTGACATGGATGTGACAGAGTAAAAAATCGAAGAATCGGGGTCAGCAGGTGACATGGTGGTTAATGGTGCTGGACTCCCACATGGACAACGGTGGTTTCAGTCCCAGACATGGCAGCTTGCTTCCTCACTTTCTCTCTCTCTCTCTCACTTTGTCCTTCTCTGGTCAAATTAAAAATAAATATATATGGTTAAATAAATAATTATTTTAAAAATGATTTATTTTTTTAAAAAATGGAGGTATCAAATCTGTAACAGTAAATTGTAAACCATGGAAAAGCTTAGGTTTTACTGCTATGTAACTATCCACTACACTTGACCCTATAAAATCAAATAAACTTTAATTGAAAAAGGTAAACTAAGGACTCCTTAACAAAAAATTATGTTCTCTGATCTCTAGAAAGATAAACTCTTAAAACATAATTATTCAGGTGACCAGCAGTTAGCGTAATGGCTATGTCACTGAACTCCCACATAGTCAACCACGGTTCGAGTCTGGGACCCAGTGGCTTAAACTCATTCGGGGAGCGTGTGCACGCGTGCCCAAGATCCCGGGAGGGGCGTGGCCCCCCCCCCCCCAGGGGGGTGATTTCTCGCTTTCTGTCTCTCTGTCTCTGGCTGGCTGGCGAGCGCACGTGCCCTATAGCAAAAAGATAAATAAAAATGAATTAAAAAAATATATAATTACTCAGCAATCTAGAAATAGACTGATAGTATCTGTTCCAAGTTAAAAAGATATAAGATCTAAAATCTCGCCTATGGTTAAAAGTTACCAGACCTAAGTGTCCAAAAGCTCAGCGGGTTAGCAGTTTTCGCCAGTCCCATATAAGAACTCTTTTTATCCAACATCGCTTTACTTTTTCATTCTGGATGGTCTTCCCATTAATAGTTCTTACATTGCTTTTCACATCACAAGTCCTGAGTAAATGGAAAGCCAGGTTTTTCAACAGCTGCTAATATCAGAGCTTGATATCAGCACTATTAAACATATTCAGAGTCTATTTCTCTTTGAAAATTTTAAATACAATTCTACCTTTCTGTTTTGTCCAAATCTATTGAATGATCCAGGAATGTGACTATCTGCTTCTCCAGGTAGCTATCAATCTTTTCTTCAGTCTTCATTGTTGAATTAAAAATATTTTGAGTCACTGAATTGAAGAACATGGCCTCATAGTTCCCTTCTAGCAGCAACTGTAGGAAAGATCCACTCTCTGTAATACAAAAACATGAGTGCAATAATCCAAAAGAAAAAAAAAGTATACAAAAAAAATTATACTAAATAAAATGTATATTAGGTAAATCTGCCATGTTCATGTGCAAAAAAAAAAAAAAAGTATATACTGCCCAACTCTTTTCCATTTGTCAGTCTATCCTTTAATCAAAAATGAGCTCTCAAGTCTGACATCATCAGGTAGCATGGTGTTTGAGGCACTGGACTCCCACATGGCCAACCATGTTTTGAGTCTCAGACCTGGTGGTTTGAAACTCACGTTGGTTGCAGGTGCGCCCATGCCCAAAATCCCAAGAGGAGAAGAAAGGATTTTGGTGTGTCCATCCCCTTTGGTGAGTGATTTCTCACTTTCTGTCTCTGTCTCCAGCAAACACATGCACTTAAAAAGAAAAATCTCTCTCTTAAAAAGAAAAAAAAATCAACTCAAGTCTGACTTCTTCCATTAAACTTTTCCAGACCACAGTATTTCAGACTATCAGACTTTTCACAAGACTTCAAACTTCCTCTATCCTAAAGCATTTGCCATGCACACACACACACTACTTCTATACTGTCCATTATTTGTCTTCTGGGTCCAGCCTAAATCCCACAAGCAGACATGCCTATACGCCTGCCATAGTAAATGTCTTTTAACTCTTTCTTGTATACGTGCATGGCTTACAAGAATTACATCTTTGCAGGCTCATTTCAACTTTTCTGCTTACCAGCTATTTGACCTTGAATAAGTTACTTAATCTACCTGCACTTATGGTAGTTTCATCTGCAAAATTGTATGAAAAGTATTATCTACCTTACCTGTCTATTTTAAGGATTAAATGACTGAATTCATGTTAAGGGTTTAGAAACTAACTGGCACTGTCGTTACTGTTACTGAACCTGAGAGGTTATTAGAATGGGGTGAAGACACGCAAAGAAGCCTGAGGACCACGCCCACCATGTCAAGGACTCCACAAGAAAAGTCTTAAGGAATCGGCCAGACTATTAGGAGGGGAAAAGAGGGAGGAATGAAAATCCAGGCGCTGCCACTCCTTTTCTTCACGGCTCCCACGCTGGCCATAACAGGTGCGCCTCTTACCTGAACTGGTGATTCCCTCCTGCTTCCATTGCTGCCGCTCCGCCTCAGTGGGGAAGCCCCTCAGAACTGCCAGCTCCGGGGTCCACAACGCCCCGGACATCGCTGCAGCCAAAACTGGTCCCTACGCGAGTCACACAGAAGTGAAGAAAAGAAATCCAAAAGAGAGAGTGCAAAGGCTCCCAAGTCTAGTGGCGACAGTTACACTAAATACACCCACAGACCTATTAGCTCATGTGCGGACAACGGCACAAGGAGGCGGCCATGACAGCAGCGCGGGGAACGCTGGGAAAAACACGCCCCCCGGTAGGGCTTCCGCCTAGGTCAATCCGGAGTCCTATTACTGAGCATGCCTATGCTCCACCCAGGGGCGGGGAATGGACTGCGCCGGGGCGTGGCCGAGCTAGGCCCCGCCCCTCAGTAGCCGAGCTCTGGCCCGCGGAAGAATGGGGGCACAGCCTAGAGCGCGCTCGGTTAAACTTAACTGAAAGGGAGCTCCGGTCAGCACTGGTTTAAGTGGAAGCGCTAGCGCTGTGATTCTTTAACGTTTTACAGTCAGAACCTACGTGTTGAAAACCGTAGCCCTTCGCCTGAGATGGACGAGGACCCTTAACTCCCGATAGCTGGGAACTATTGCAGAGACCCACTGGAGTCAGTGAACCCCACTCCACTTATAACTGTCAGCGTCGAATAGGTCTGTATTTTTTTTTAATAAAGTATAAGAAAAGTATCTGTGTTTAATGCACCCACCAAGTAAATCAGACCGAGAGGGAAGTCTGGCTTAGCAGCTGTTGCAAGTAGGTTTTGCAGGAGTCTTTGAACGCTGCAGAGAAAGGCCCAAGAGGAAAGATGCCAGCCACTCCTGACTGCTGTCTAAACACAACTTTAACCTTCAGAGCAGCACTGCTAGGAGAGAGGCTAGGCTATGAGTTACAGAATGCCCAGGAATGGCATTATTCCCCCAGCCTGAGGCTTGCTCTTTGAAAAGCCACGCAAGACCCCAGAGAAGGCAAAGTGACCCTGACCACATAAGATTCTTGGAAGACTCAAGCTCAACCGACCTAGGGAGGACTGTAGTTCTTAATTTCTTCTTCAAGCCCAGAGCCAGTCCAGATCGTAGATGAAAACAGAGCTAAGCTCAGCCAAGCCGCTGCCAGCAGACGCCAAAGGAAGCCAGTCTTGGCTATGGCAGAGAGAAAAACAGAGGGAGGTTGGGAGGGAGAGAGGGAGGGAGAGAGAGAAAGAAAGAGAGAGGGAGAGAGAGAGAGAGAGAGAGAGAACGAGCCCCCCTCCCTTCCACAATATTCTAGGATGCTTAGAATGGCTTCTCACTGAAAAGTAATTAAAAGTTACCTGTGTAGAGAATATTTGACCAGTGCATCCATTTTCTTTTTAAGCACAAAAGCTGACACTGTCTAAACTGTGTGCTGTAACTGAACATCTGTAGAAACACACCAACCGCTGCTCCAAAGTTCCTCATTTGCAGGTGACTCCCTTCCAACCCCACAGTTAACTTGGAACTTCGACTAATTCCAGGTTGGCGGGTTTTAAATATGGTATGCTAGACAGTGATTGTGACCAAGTCTATTAATCTCTCTCCAGGAATAAAGTAGGCGAGAGGGAGAATAGTCTCCATATATATATGTGTGTATACACACACACACACACACACACACGCACACACACACACACATATATATTGAGTGGAAACTTGGGACAGGCTGCTGAGATACCCACTGTATGGTTTAGTGTGGAATACCTGGGCCCAGCAGTCTGTAGGTAATCCAGATGTTATTGTTAAGATTTTTCTCTTGGGGCCGGCAGGTGGTGTGGTGGTTAAAGGTGCTGGATTCCCACATAGCTGACTGTGGTTCAAGTCCTGGACCTGGTGGCTTGCTCTCTCTCTTTCTCTCTGTCTTGTCAAATTGAAATAAACAAATGAATAAAGTTAAATGAAGTAATTCTTAAAAAAAAAAAAAAAAAGATTTTTCTCTTCCTCTGCTCAGATTTCTCAGGTATTTTAAATCAAGGGTCTGGCTGCCAGAGCTCTAGAACCAAGAAGAAAGCCTAGGAAGCCAGTAATCTCCCATCTTCAGTAATTTATTTAAAAGGTTTATCAGGTTTTTCCTCTTTCATGTGTACACATGCACTACAGAGAAAGTATCCTCCACCCCAAGAGAACAATCATGACACAATCCTGTCCTTCAATTCTTCACCCCAGCAGGGTCCCGGGCATCTGGAGTTTTTGTTTTTTTGTTTTTTTTTCCTGGACTCAGGTCCTGGTGAGCCATGTGGGATCCAGCTTTCTCTGGGCAGTGCTTAACTGCTGCTACCAGGCTGGCTCCTTTAGTAATTGTTAAAGCTCCCCAGGTGATTCCAATAAGCCAAGAATTAGGATGAGCTAGCATGTACCAGAGACTGCACCGGGCATTTCACTTAACTTGTCCTGTTGATACTTACAACATGAGATGGGTATTATCTTCTTCTATTACAGATGAAAAAGCCGAAGTTCAGAGAAGACTTGTTCCTGGGGCCAGCAAGTGGCATGGTGGGTAAGGAACTGGATGCCCACATGACCAAATATGGTTTGAATCCTGAAAACCTGGCAGCTTGCTTCCTCTCCATCTCTGTCTTGTGATAGCAAATTAAACAATAATAATAAAATTAAGTAAATAATTCTTTAAAAAAAAAAAAGACTTGTTCTCCCCTCTGTAACCCCACAGACTATAGCTGATGTGGAACTGGAGTATAAACTTATAAATCAGCCAAAAAATACCCACATCTAGATCTGAGATGGTAGGCCATGTTGGGAGAAAACTGGGACCTTTTATATTGAAAAAAGCATTCACACAAACGTTTTAAAAAGACTGGCTGCCCCATATTGCTTTACACTTGCTCAATCAGTGACAACCTAAGTGGATTTTTCAACCCAGACAATCAGTGTCAGCCCTTTGTTTCTGAAAGCTGGCCTGTCATGGACTCACTCTAGTAAACATGACTGAGTGTCAATGAACCAAAGACTATCGTATTTTTTACAGCCGGCATTTAGCCCCCTTATCCACGAGGTCTTAGGGCACACATGCACCCACACCTGGAGTGAGTTTCAAGGTGTCAGGTCAGGGATTCAAACTGCGATCAGTTATGTGGAGCCCAATGCCTTAACCACTATGTCACCTACTGGCCCCAACTAGAAAGGTATTTTTTGCTTTATTTTCAATTAGCAATAATCACGCCTCGGATAAACCTCATTGGCTACGATACTGCCACTGTGCAAAGCTTTTTTTGCTTTATTTTGTGATAGTAACTTTAGAATTAGTATTTTTATGAACAGACCAATTTGCTTTACCAGTTTCTGGATTTCTTCAGGTCCTCTGCACTGTGTTCTTGGACCCAGGCCATCCTGTGTGTGGTTGGGGATTTGCTCCATCATCTCTAAGGCCTTTACACTCACCCTTCTTCCCTGGCTCCTCACCCTGCACACATGCTAAAGTAATGTCACAATAAAACATCTATTTTCCCCACATTCTGCCAATTCCCTCTTCCTCTCTACACTTTGGTGACCTCAGTTTATGACCGACCTTCGGGACTCTACGCTTATCCTCGATGGCTGGCACAATGATTTCCCCGCAACAGTCTGACCACGTTGCTTCCCTAATTTAAGCTACTTCAGAGCCCTACATCACCTGCAGAGAGTCAAAGCTCCTTTACAGGAACCAGCAGATAGCATAATGGATACGTCACTGGGCTCCCACAACTGACGTGGTTTGAGTCTTGAACCCAAAGTCTTGAAATTCATGCCAGGCACATGTGCGTGTGTGCCCAAAATCCCGAGAGCAGAATGAAGGAGAAGGGACTGCATGCAGCATGGCCACTTCCCGGGGTGTGTGTGGGGGGGTGGTTTTTCACTTTCCGTCTCTGTGTGTCTGGCGCGTGCACACACCCTATAGCAAAAATCTCTCAATAAAACAAAACTCCTTTACAGGGTAGATGAGGCCTTGGATGACCCAGTTGCTTACAATCTTTTCAATGCAGTAGTTTGCCATCCCATTCTACTCCCGCTTTGCCTGTTACCGTCCAGTAACACCTAACATGGCGCCGTTATCCTGAGCTCTCTTTTTGCTCTCCTGGGTCTGTCCCTCTGCCTGGCTAATTGCTTTCTCCTCCTCCTTCAAGATTTGGGAAAACTTCCTCCAGGAAGACTTCCCAGACTATATCACCTTAACACCCACAATTTTGCTTGAGATAAGTTCCCCTTGTCTGTACTACTCCTAATAGTACCCTATGAATAGTACCCTATAAATAACCCTATAAATAACATTTTGTAGCACAATGTGTTTGTGTCTATCTTTGCTCAAGTGTAAGAACATAAACCTAGTACAAAGTGAATGCTCAAATATTTGCTGACATAAAGTCTAGATCTCAAATGGAATCATTTTATTGTAATCAGTTACACATTTAGATTTTTTTTTTAGGCCTCGATATTTGAAAAGCATGAACTGAACCTTATAGGTCTAATGGTGAGAGGGGTGATGGTGGTGGAGAAAATGTCCCAACCATATATTAATTTTTTTTAATTTTAAGTTTTTTTTGCCATAGGGTGTGTGTGCTTGTCAGAGAGAGACAGTGAGAGGGAAAGTGAGAAATCACTCCTGGGGGAACAGTCATGACACAATCCCTTCCCCTCTATTCTCCTCTTGGGATTTTAGGGAGGCACACACACGCGCGTCCAGCATGATTTTCAAGCCACCAAGTCTGGGACTCGAACTGTACGAATCAGTCATGTGGGAATCCAACACCTTAACCACCATGCCATCTGCTGGTCCTGATATATTAATACTTTTTAAAAATCCAGAATTGGAGGCAAAAGATATACTTGACAGCAGCTTCTTACCATTTAGCCCAGACAGGACCCTGACAGGCCCAAACCAACCAAACAAGCAAAAATATAAAGAACAAAATAGCCTGTCAATAGGATTGATGACTATTCTGCTACTTTTTATTGCTGGTATTTTTTACTTGGATTTTAGCTATTAGATCTGAGTGATATATAATTGAGTTTTTTCCTTCTCAGTGGCCTCTACCGCTCTTTGGTCATTCTTGGCATAGCTCCGTAGTCCCCTCCCATCAGACCTAACACAGTGTGTTTCAGAACCCTTGATGTCCTGGTCACATCCTGCTTGCTCTTTTATCCCTGTTTCAGGAGCTCTGTACCTTGTGCAGAAGAGTACTATGTTCCTTAGCTTGCACTTTGTCTTCAGAGAGCAACACCTTGTTCAGGAGACAGCTTCTATTGGTCAGAGTGCCCACACACCACTTTCCTTTATAAACACTGCCAAGAATCACCTTAGCTTTTCCGTTGTAGTAACTGGTTTGGAAAAAGCATCCTTGGTTCTCCCATGCTTAGGTCTTGAGAGTGTCCAATTCTTTTATACAAATAGCATTTCACACCATGGCAAACTGTTTAGAAACAAGACATACTAATTCACCTAAGTCTTTATTTATTTGGCTCTAGGAAAATTTGCATGAAAATGAGCCTGTATGGCAGGTACAGAGTGTACTGTAACAGCACCAGAGGTACATCCTCTCTCCTCTACAGAGCCTCAGTGTTTAATACATACAGGTGACTTTAGTAATAAAACCAGATAGTCCAGGAGAAAAGGAGCCCTTTAGGAACAAAAAAATCAGTTTAGAGTGACTTTTCAAATTGACCATTCCTTTTCATATACTTAAATTCAAATAACAGATACATTCAGAGGCCCAAATGTTGGCATAGAATAAAATCATGTTCATTTATTTTTTTTTCTGCATCTTAGAATTAGAAGGCATAAAATTAAATATGTTGAATGTAATAAATTCATCCATACAAGTGCAAGTCTCCAGCTATAATGCATTTTATGGCAGATTTATTGTTTTAAAAATGTACCAGTAAATCAAAAAAAGAGGGAGTATGTCCATTTAACTTTTATTGAAGTGTATGAAGGAGGTCTTCAGAAATCAAATATGAGCATGAAGATATGGCCAAACATAAAATCTATCAAATTCAGTGAAAAGTTGCTGACTTTAAATAGTAGTTGTAAGAATGACCAATATATATTCTTTGTTAACAACCCCTCACTCTACAGTAAAAAAAAAATAAAATAAACATTCAGTAAACATTCTTTCCTAAGGTAGTTTCCCTTATATATCAGTGATTTATCCATTTCTTTGTATACACAAATTTGTTGAACATACCAATCAGTGGTTCTCACAATTGAAAAATAAAAGCACAAAAAAGTTTACACTCTTGTACAGGTAAATAAAAGATCACCTTGAATTAAACTGGATCTCCTTAAGGGCATAGTATAGTTTCAGTTTCATTACCTATTACATAATTAGTTTCTTACATACAAATATTGACATATTTGGCTTGTGCTTCGAAGCCTTGTGTCTATTAAGTCCACGCCAATGCAGCTTATAACTGGAAGTCACTCGGGAGTTCTTTGCTGCCACCGGGTTTGACCTGATCATGTGGTAGAGTCTCCTCAGCACCTGCTGTGGCCCTGCACACCTCAGAGGCATCCTCAGTGTCAGGGTCCAAGCCCTCAGGGCAGGGAAGTTTTAGTAACTCTTCCCGGAGTTGAGCGGTGTGACGCTATAAGAGAAAAAAACGACTAATGTTAGAATTGCAAACTCTGAGATCCCAAAACATCACTTGTGGGAGGGACTTGGTTTTAACTAAACCAAAGATTTAAGCTTCCGAATATGAACACCCTCCTGTGTAGGCTGCTGTTATATTAAGCACATAGTACATAAAACTGGCAAGATCCCTCTTTGCAAAATAACTGATGCTGGAAGCCCTGAGTAACATGCCTATAGACCCCTAGAAAGGATGGCCACACTGCAGCCCTCCATTCTCCTCTCAGGATTTTGGCATACACACACACACACACACACACACACACACACACACACACAAACATACACGCCTGCTATGTTTTGCCAGTCATCAGGTATGGGAATCAAACCATGTTGTTAGCCATGTGGGATCCAGCACCTTAACCACCATGCCACCTGCTGGTCCCAAAGTTCTCTTCCCTTTCCTCCATCTTCCTCTCAGAATCTTCGCATAGATATACAACTGGCATGATTTTTAATCCACCAGGTATGTATTGCGAGCCACAGAATTTGCCAAGTCGGACCCGAGGACTTAACCTCCAGACCACCTGCTGGCCCTTCAGTGAAGAGTTTTAAAGTTAGAAAGAAGGAGTGGGTGGATATGGGAGAAACTGAAGAGAGGGAAAGGAAAGATAACAGGGAGGAGATGAAAGACGCACAGGTTATCAAAGCAGATCATTTGGATGCAGAAAAAAAAAGGGTGGCTATTATAAAGAGTGACTCCCACATAGGGGGAAAAAATCTTCCAATCCCTATTTTACATTTCCATTCTATGAATGCTAAAGTTGAAAACAATTGCTTACTGTCACCCACATAGGTGTGTATCATACCCAATGCCATCAATCAGATATTGGAGAAGCTGCAACTCACATCTTTATTACTCCAATTAACAAAACTCTGGGGCCAGACTGTAGCACGGTGGTTA